GAAGGGAGGAGCCGGTGACCACGAAGCTTTCCCGGGCCTTGTCCGTCATGGCATGGGTTTCCTGGGGTGCCGTGTGGCCTTCCGGGTGAGCGGTGATCACAAAGCCAGGGGGCAGGGCCTCGCCGGGTGCGAACCATTTTCCCTGGGAGTGGTCCAAGCCGCTCATAGCAGGCATGTACGTTGCCGGCATGCTTGGATATGTATAGCCTCCCGACATGGTGTAGGGTGACGATGTGTAGGTCACGGGCATTCCGGCATCTTGCTGAATCGTGTAAGCCGGCATCGGCTCGGTCGTGTAGGCCGGCATGTTCATGTACGTTGGCTGCGCATCCACTGCAAGTGCCGGATCGGTCGTGTAGGCCGGCATGGTCGTGTACACGGGCTCCGCAGGGACAGCCATGGGCTTCGCGAAGCTGACGATTGGACGCTGCGATGGATGTGCTGTAAGCCAAGATGCTGCTACAAATGGTGTGCCCTGTGCATTCAAGCATTCGTGAGCTGGTAAACGCAACTGTCGTCCTGCCGGAGGATTTTGACACTCTGATGCAAATCCGCTACAGGCAGCAATCCATCCTCCCGGACCTTAAGTCCACAACTTCGAGAGACCCCCGCATCTCGAATACTTGGGGATAAACACCATAAAAACCACAACTTCTTCTGGTTTGGCAGAAGCCCCAGCCTGGCACCAAGCAGTCCGGAATCAGACGCGTCGCGCGTGCCAGCCGATAGAGGGATCTGGCCGTGATGCCTTTATCGGCTCTTTCCTGTCCGCTCGGAAAGTAGGCAGGGGCCGGAACGTTCCAGGCTCTTGGGGGGACGGTCCGTGAACAAAATGCAGAGCTGAAAATTCTAGATTGCTGTCATCTGGGACCAGTTGGCATTAACACATGAAGTCGGCATCATCACGATGGCCCGTGCACGCCTCCAGAGTCAGCGTCACCCCTCCGGAAGGGCTGCGGTCGCTTGTGGCCTGGGTGGGTCTGTGTGGCCCGTGCCAGCGCAAACAATCTGGGACAGAGCCTCCGATGTTTCAGATCCGAACGTAGTGCAGGAAAAGCCTGCGGAAAGCATGTTCGTACTGGTAGGCAGCCTGGATGACCTGCGGCCAACATTCACGTTTAGCCAAGGCATCCTTGTTTTCCGACTCCTGTTTAAAATGGTGTAACGTGCTGTGCATGAATGTGAAGCTGCTGACGATGGTTACCTTTGTGCAAGCAGACTGCATTGAGTAATGAGGAGTCATCTGACACGATCCTTGCCATGCAAGCTGGGCTGCTGCTGTAAAACTATTGATTGCACACGAGCTCCACTTTTGTTCGTTTCGGTGACCAGATGTGACAAGTGTGCTTGCAAACACCTAGAACCTGGGCACACGACGCCACGTAAGGACTGGTCCATGATGCATTCTGTCATGCCATTTGTCAGACAAGGCAAAGTCGCGATCTGATACCTCAATACAGATGGCCACAGATTCAAAAGACATCTGGTGTCCGATCGCATCTGCAAATTTTTAGATACTTGTAAATGTGTGCGATGGCATCTCTTGAGGAGGCGTGTTAGGAACTTGTTCTGCAATCTGTCCCGATTCAGATCCTTATGTTCGTCTTCATGATCAGGATGTGTCACGCAGGGCCTAGAGGGTGACGGGCGATTGAATGCGGTAGATTCGCTTCCCAGCACGTATTTGCTTTCGCGCTTCTCTCTGTGCTCGTGTGAGAGGGCAAACTTGAAGGATGGAAACTGTGGCACTTGAGAACACAGCTGAGCTTGGCATGTGACCGGATGTTAGGCGATCATCGTTGGCATCCGCCTCGTCTTCGAAGAGAGCTGTGCGCATGGGACTGACCTGAGAAGATCCAGCCCGAGCATTGACGTCTGAGAAGTGGTTTACATTCTCGAAATATTTTCCTCCTACTCCTACTGCTGGTGCAATGTGCAGCCACTGCTCAATCAACTCTCCCACCAACTCTTACCCTAGTCCCGGCTGCTGAAACGAAATACGCCGCCTGACCGCTTACTATGCTTACAGAAGATCACAGCAGTTCGAGTTCGGAGACCTTGAACAGTGGAATCTCGGGGAAAGAGCACTTAGTTCTGCGTATCGTCACCAGGCAGCCTGCTTCAACGCGGGTGTGAATTTTCGCTCTGGCATTGTCCATGCCGCTCTATTTGATCCTTGCAGGATCGCTGGACCGAGATCTGCTCCCAATCGGGAGATGCCATCCTTCGGCTTTAAATGCCAGGATTGCTCCACCTGCCATGGCCGTGCATGACGAGGCGCCAAAATGTGCATACTTCTCTCGTTTCTCCTTGCAGTGCCACTGTTCGCCTGCGATGGATATGGGGACGTTTGAACATGTGAGAACAAGCATCGTAGCCTTCGAATCCGTCCAGGTGTTGCTTGGGCCATCATTTCCCATGCGGCTGCTAGCGAGCGCTGGTGCCATTTGTCGTTCTAGCTTCGTCTGCTCTATCCGCTGACAGGTATTTCAGCACCTTGTCCGGATGCTCCTTCACAAACACATCCGCCAGCATGCGCAATGTGCTCCTCTCTCTCTCCTGCCAGGCCTGCTTCCAAAGCACAGCAGAACGGAGCAGGGCAGTGATGCGGCTCTGATATGTTCCAAAGTGCTTCTCATAAACCTCAGCGACTCGCTTTCGTGTGGCATTGATCCTTTCAGGATCGCGTGTCAGGCCCTCGATCAAAGCACGAGGATCCAGGCCCATGGCCTCTGGTCGCTGGACGGAGATCTGCTCCCAATCAATCAGTTCTTCATACGGGAGACACCAACCTTCGGCCATAATTACCGGTATCGCTCCCCCACTCAAGCATTCCATCAGCCGGTAGCTCCACCTGCCATGGCCGTGCATGACGAGGCTGTAGGCAGAATCGAACAGTGAATAGTAATGTCGTTTCTCCTTGAAATGCGGCTCTTGGCCTGCGATGGATATGAAGACATCCGAAGGAGGTTCATAACTCACTGAGGGCAGGGGCAGCGGTTCGCCGGCAGAGCTTTTCATGGCTTTCGGCAGCTTTTTGGTGCTGTTCAGTATAGCTGCCATGTTCAAGCGAACAAAAGACGTGCCACCCTTGCCAACATTCCAGAGCCCCTGAAACGTCAGGAAATACCTCGGTGGACTGGACGGCGGCACCCTGGACTGTCGTAGTGTGTCTGGCCAGGGAAGATGGTGAGCATGGGTCACACCAGGTAGCAGCAGTGCCGAATCGTTTGCATTGCTCCAAAATCGTAGATCTGATGAGGAAAACATGAAGTCCCGTCGAGACAGCAAGGCCCAAATATCAGCACAGTTCCGCCAGCAGCCGCCTTCCAACCTGCAGAAGCGTCAGGCTCCAAGAAACAGCAACACAACTCCACCGCGGACATCACGGAACTGCAAACAGCTGCTAACAGAACGACGGCGGCAAACAGATTCGCTGATGCCTACCTGCCCTAACACTTCTTTCGAGCGCAGCCTCCCGATGGTGAGTGCCGCGTCACAGTCGTAGCACAAGTAAGGTCGCTCGGGTGTGCGTGGCGGAAGGCGCAGCATGCGGTCGATCGGACCACAGCACACGACGTAGAAAACGGCTTGCGCAGGATCTGTTACTGTCCAATTGCCTTCGAAAGTAGGCATGTGTCTGAAAGGATAAGTATTCCGGTGCAGCACGTCCGCTTCCAGGAACACCGGCAGAAACAATTCCTTGTGCAGCTCGCTATCATCTACCTTAAATGGGCTGCCGGCAACCGCCCCGGATGACACGAGAAGAGTGCTGCGTGCTGCCGAATTCCAGGGCTCGGTCACGTGAACCTTCTGCTTTTCCGAGAACGGCTGCGAACCGGAAAGATCCGGACTTGAAGGCGCACGAGCTTCTGGCACAGCTTTGTTCACAGAAAAGATTAAACCAAGGACCATCAGAACAGCACAAGCCAGCAGTGACCGCTGGCCCATACCTTCGTTCCACGAGTGTCCGTGAGTACCGGGCGCCTTGAGCCGACATGCTAGCTGAAACACATCTGAAGGGCCATGGACATGCTCACAATGTCCTGTGCAACGGGAAGCAGCTTGTCCGGTGACTGGCTTGTCGGACCCTTTAGTCTGGCTTGCAGAAATCCCATGAGTCGTGTGCCGTCTTGATGTTGAAAGGGATCTCACTGTTGCGTAAGCTGACATCTCGCAGCAAGTCCTGACAAGATCACCGGCGACGGTCGGCCGTCCACACAAAAAGGTTGCCTGAACCTTCTCATCAAATTACATCATCGATCATGGGCAGTCTGCCAGCATGCACCCTGATTCGGAGCTTTCTGAGACTTCTGAGCTGAGCGGACACACAGCTGCATTGAAACGTCCTGCAGCGCGGAGATCTTGTTGGTGCTCTCAGCTGCAAAAAGCCTGCTCTCTTGAACGTCTGCTCTGCCAGGAGTCGACCAACTACCCTTCTTACTTGCTGTTGGCCTGCCTCTACGCCAAGCTAAGCCAAAAGCCGAACAGCAGTTGCTACTGCTGAACTGCTAGATTGCAATTGCTGTCTCGGGGACCTATCTCAATAACAGTCCTAAAAGACATCCGAATCTCGCACAACCCCTGGAATAGAAGCACTCAGAGTCATAACCCGTAGATCAAACGTTAAATAAGCAGAGTCATCGGATGCCGAGATCAGGACATCATATGGGCCGAGATGCACAGGTTCTACATGGTACTGACTCCGTCGCTCACGAGTTTTCCCGGGGCCAGGGCCTGCTGCCTCGCCTTTCCACACCGGAAGCACTTGCACTTGGGCGTCGACTTTCCTGGGAATGTCCCAAACAGAAAAATCAAACCTCACGTCGATAGTGACACCTAAAGGTGATGGAGTCCCTTAGTTTAGGATTGACACACAGAAAACCATAAACACTGCCCACACCGGTCGAGTTGCAACAAAACTGTCCAACATAAAGCAGTGATACAAATGTACGCACATGTTTACTTGAAGCAGTCAGCTAGCTGTCTCCATTCGTGCAACAGTTCGTAAACACTCGTTTGTGTTTACATACGGTACCTATGGCAGTCTTGCCTTCGCATATGCAACCATGTCTCCGGATGAAATACGTACACACATACATACATACATACATACATACCTACGTACGTACGTACGTACATACATACATACATACATACGTACGTGTGTACATACACATATTACGTACGGTGCTCAAATCAACGAAGGCTACTTTCCCCCAAAGTAGCGAAACGGAAGGTATTTGGGAATCGCTTAATTCTTTGATCGCCCTGGGGGCTCGTTAGTCTCATGCCATTGATCATTCTGACTATTAAAAAATTGCAATTGCTATTGCTCTAAGTTAAGGCTATTTCTACTACTAATTAAATTACGTGGGTGGCTGAAATTATGGCAACAGGCCCAAGTCTGAGGGCTTTGCCGACTCTGTTGTCTGCCGATCCATGTCCGCACCTGCCTGGCGACAGGGTTTATCTTCCCGTATCATAGGGACATAGTGTTACCCTGGAGGAAGCAGGTCATATCAGGTCAGCATGCGAAACAAAAGATATGCGTAGGCCCTACGCATGGCATGAGTTAATCGATGGTGAGTGTCCTGACGCACCAATAATCATTGCGAAAAAAACTGTTCCTTACCTGTCGACGCAGTACAACATGGAGAAGGTATGGACACATGCCCCAACATGCCTGGACACCGAGTGTCGCCAGCAATGCACAAGCATGCATGTTCGCCTTCTTAAGTTGTGAAGTTGGTTTGGTATTGTACTTAGTACTGCGCCGATGTACTGCGCTGTCCCGCAAGCGCACAAAGAGGCAGAAAGACTGGCGAACGTTCCCAAATCACACGTTGCAAGTCGTGACCGGGCCTTCTTGAGACCCCATTGAGCCCCGTAGTGCTCGTTGGCCAGCGCCTGCACAAGCTTGTTCTTTCGTGCAGCTCACCTCCGGCTCCGGAGTGACATCAGGAAGGCAACAAGTTCTTCAAGCCCGGGTGTGCAGACAACAAGACTCTAGCTGCGTTGCCGGAGCCCTGATCTCTGCCTACCCCATGAGGCATACCGCTCTGTGAACATGGGCTCGGGTTGACAATGATTCGTGCCACCGTTCTTGCTCGGGATTCCGTACCGTCTTCAGTTAAAGTCATAGCACCAGACGAGTGTGGATTCAGCCATGATCCAAACAGTTGCAGCTCAGAGTTGCTCCTCTGCCTGCACAAGCTCTTGCGGGGGACTATTATAGGGTTCGACCATAGAGTTCCCCGCGTTTAAGGTTCAGGGTTTAAGGGAGCCCAAGTTGGACCTCGCTAGCCTCCACGTGTCACGCGGAATGCCGGTCCAAGACCACCCCCCCCTTTCGACGTCCTCCTCAAAACGTCGCCGCCTTACTAGCCTGAGGCCATGTGAGGCCACTCTGGCGCCCCTCCCCTTCTAACTTCCATGATCAGTGGGCACAATTGACAGGGACCTGGCCGCAGGAGGGCGGCCGGGGGGGGAGTGAGGCAAGGCAAAACAGACCCGTACCCGAGCCTGGAAGTTTGACGGGGCACGTCCGATGTAAACAGCATTCTCCTTTCGGCATCTTCTAATAATGTTGACCTCATAGTTAGAATCCCCCGCATATTTGCTCAATCCGAGGCGGCCAAGCGAATGCACAAACCATGGATGTGGTGTAGAAACACTCAGTCAGACCACATAGCAGGAACATTTAGGGCTCGTCGCCAGCAGCAGCTGCTAGGGCCCCAACATGCGCCCAATTAGGGAGAGGCGGGCCTGCACCCTTGAGGCGGGAGGAGGGGGGTATAAATTTGTAAATGCGAGTAAACTCCCGCAGGGTTGACATCTTGAGAGCCCAAACGAAAGTGTATCTTGCTGGGCCCTGCTCGCTTCCCTTTTCTTACCGCAATTCCCGTTTCCGCAAAGCAGGCTCCTTGACCGTCGAGGTGAATGCCAACTATCCATGCGAACTCGAATCTCAGCAAAGCAGTCCCTCCCTTCCTCACCTCAAGCCGCACTACCAACTGAGCTTGCTGCCTGCAGCGCTTGACGAAACTGCTTGGAGTCCAGAAGTCGGCTGTCCAGAGGCTCCTGGCAAGCAATTAGCTGCAGCCACTGTCTGATGAGATTTACGCGCTCCGCTCCTCTGGATAGAGTGGGCCACCGGTGTGCTGCTTGAAGGTCTGCCAGAACACAGTGCCAGGGAGGACTGGTAGGAATAGCAGCTGAGTCGCAGCAACAGGGACGGTCCAGTTGCAGTTGCAGATTGGCAGCAGGGAAGGCCGGACACGGTGGTCTCGGGGCGTCTGAGATGTCGTCCGAAGACAACGCTCATCACTCTACGATAAGGCTAATGTCGAAGCTTTGAGCTGGAGGTTTGAGCCTTAGGTCTTACAGAGTCTTACAACAAAGATGTTCGATACAAGTAACTCAAGCTCCAACTTGCCGGGGAGAAAACTGCAGCCGGGGTAGCAGCAGCAGTTAGCAACGGTAGTCAACAAGCCGAGGGGGCCAACATCGGTGGAAACAACGCCAATAGTAGAGCGGTAGCAGCGGCGGTAACAGTGCGACGCAGTAGCAAAAGCGACGGCAAGAAGGCTAGTTTGGGCAGTTGAGGTTGGAAGAGAGACCCAGAACAACAAAACGAAGGAGGGTCAAAGGGGGCGGGAAGCCGCCCTGTAGCGCCCCAGCAGCTTTTTTGAGAAGCCGAAGGGCCCTGTTGCGATCATGCAAGCATCAGGTGACCTCAACCCCGGCCCGAAACATGCGGACTTACGGATGCTATCAACTCGTGCCTCGAGCATCGACTTGTGATCGAAGTCCAACGAGAGGAGGCGTTGGTGGGCCAGAAGATGACAGAAACTTGGCACATGTGAAGACCAAGTCTAAGTCAGGCGTGAAGGAAGTCGTCTGCTGCCGCGTCATTCAGCGAGCGACCTCATCAGGGTGACTCCATCTCCTTCAGAGCAGTCATGGTAGAGACCCGACACCAGGGTGGCCTGCAAGCGGGAGCAGCCTCTCTTCTGTGCCTACGCGTGTCTGGGTCATGCCGGCTGCATGGAAGCGATACTGCAACGGAGATCGGGCGCACCGTGGTATCCTGAACTGCGCCCAAGTGCCCTCGTGGGCCAAAGTGATGCCTCGGCCCATGCCCAACTGCGACACATGCGCGACTCCATGGAAGGATAGTCAGATAGTCGCAAGTGCTGGGGGCACAGCGAATCGCCCTTTTGGGCCATGGCCTCTGCACAGCAAGCAGATTACAGGGACAAGACGTAGATAAAGACAAACTCACATTCTTGCAGGCGCTACCCCATGCTCCTCGCACCCATCCACAGTCAAGCGAGAAATTGAAAAACCCAAGGCCCTGCCTCCAGGCCGCAGCGCTTTGCACTGCTCACATCTCTGGCACTGTCCACTCTTCCAAGACGCTGCGGGTAAGCACGTGCTTTCCGATGTGCTTACACTTTCTTACACTCAACGCTTGGTAGGATGTAGGATGGCAAACCAGCTTTCGGCACTGTGCAACGCGAGCGGGTGCTATGTCAGCGGTGGCTCAGAACTGATCGCTGTAGAAGCCGCTGAAGTTCAGATGCGCACATAAGCTCATCACCTGGCGAAGGCATTGGTGGCCACGGCCGATCTGTGTCTGCAGTCTGCAGGATGTGACTGTCACGCATCTTTCTTCGACACAGAGGCGATTATTGCTGGAGCCAGTGCTCGTTGGCGCTGTCCAGGCTTGTTGCTGGACAGCTCTAGCTGCACGATCCACAACTTTCCACAACGTGGAAGTCTCAATGTGCCAACAGATTGGGCACCGCTCGTGGCACATTTCCGGTGAGACCCAGTCTATCTCAGTCTGCTAGGAAGTGAATGACCGGTTTACAAGCACGGCACAGACTGGATAGTCTCATCGGCTCGGGAAGAGGAAGGCGTGTTGTTCACGGCTGGTTTGCGTGCCGAGAAGACCGACCTTGCACTCCTTGAACGCGCTCAGTCCTCCATCATGGCGAGGAGAGCCGCAATCTTCTCCGGATCTTGTCGCAAAGCTTCCTTGGCTCGGCGGCACGGCTTTCCACGACCGTGCTCCCAGGCCGAACGAGCGAGTCAGTGGCTACAGCGTCCGCACTTCTGCAGACACCATCAGGAAAGCCATCAAAGGCTGTTATGATGAAGTTGTATGTCGAAATCCGGCCCTGATCTGCTTTGTGGTTGATTTCTGAAATCTGACACGAAAACACAGTCACAGGCTGTCCCTCAGCATGCCCCTGGAGCTTTTTGCAAGCCCAAGATCTGCGAGCTCCGGGTGTTGAGCCACCAAAGCCTAAGCTCTTGATAGCACCAGTCGAAAAGCTCAAAAGGAGGCGAGGGCTTCTGGAGCTTCAGCCTGAAACCTGTTCACCACGCGACCACAGGCAGGGCACATGAGATATGAGGTAATCTGTTCTCCCAGCAGCCGTCAGCTGAGGCAGCAAGCCTAGAACGAGGAACTGCACAGTCTCTGTCTGCAACATTCCCTAGTTTCTGGTGGCATCGGTGCCGACGAACGAACTGGTCAGGACGTGTATCCTCTGGAACTCGTCCTACATAACTCTATGAAGGCCTGCTTGCTGGCCAAAGCACCGTGAGTTTGGGCGGCAAGCCCTTGATGAAAGTCGACAGGTGGGACCGGTCAAAGCGCAGAGGATCGAACGCAGAGACGTCCAGTGGGGGCTCCTCCGATGTCAGAAGATGTTTGCAGTGCTCGAGGCAAGCCCAGTGCCATTCGCTGCCGGCCCGCCTCCCCTGCTGCCAGGGCTGCAGCAGCCTCGCCCATCGCCGGGCCATTCCTGGAAAGCCAAACTTTTGAAATGACCCGTTGCACGGCGACTGCGGTGAGACTTTGTCAGAATCTGCTGCCGCACCAGCTCTGGCACCACATGCTGTAAGTACAAGCTTGGTGCTTTAAAAAAGCATCCGCAGCACTAACTTTGCTAAGTACTGCCTGAGCGACAAGGCCCTACAGAAACAGCCGCTTGGATCGTTTGCTGAATCTCTTTGACAGAGGCGGACTGAAACCAACCCAAGGCTCAGAATACCCCAGCATCCTCCACCACATGCTATGACAGCCTTGGTTCCAAGAGTCATGGCGTTTATGGTGTGTTTATAATAATAATAACAGTATTATTAGTAGTAGAGTAGTAGTGACCAACTGTAGACTCCTGGCCAGGAAGCGTTCTCGGTCTTCGGGATGCGGCCAACCACCGGTCGGTGGTCCTCGGAGCCTGCGAGGAAGCAGGCCGTGCTGCGAATGATCGTTGCATCCTTGAGCCGCGGAACGGCAGCGATGCTCTCGGCCTGCAGAGTCTTAAAGCTATGGGGATACCAGGCTTGGGCGTATTTCATTAAGGCTCTTCATGATTATGGGCCCCTTGCATCTCCTTTCAACGGCTGCACCTTGACCCTGTCGATCTCGTCCTGAGGAGGCTCGATCTCCATGGGGTTATCTGGCAAAGGGGGATCCGTTGGGCAGCCATTAGCATAGCACTCGTTTGATCGAGGATAGATCTCCGTGTGGTCTTCGCCCATGGTGAACACCATTGTAGCATCCTTGCCAACCTCAACATCATCCCAAATCACGCTGGTGTAGCGGTTCGAGACGGTGCGCCGAGGCAGCGTGCTATCAGGGAACCACTCGGCTGCTTCGCTCGCCCATGCGCCCATCCCGAGGATCAAGGATGTGCATGGAAGTGAAGACTCCTTGCCGTCCTGGCAGAGAGCTGAACTTGGACCCAGCCCTAGTGTGAAGCATCTCCGCCCGTCATCAGCCCGAAACGGCAAACTCACCTGCATATCTTTGCTGTCCTGGCTCACTTTCAAGGCCGTCACGGCAGATCCTTCCATACGCGTGCGGAGGCAGGCAGAGGGGCAGCTTCACCCATGCTCTGGCAACACGACATCGCATCGCTGCCTTCCATCTCCACACCAGTGGCCTTGCCGATGATGATCTCGCAACCTGGGGCCAGTTCCAACTGTCAGCTACCGACACTCTTAAACAAACGCATCGCCACATTCGGCTTCGATCTCGAGAGGGTTAAGGATGCTTCTTCTGCAGCACACGAGAATGCTCGATGTACAGGTCCGGCGTCATTGATTGATGTGGCAACTTCAAGCAACCAGTCATGCAAGCGGTGCAATGAAGTACGTGCAGAAACGACCCAGTCCAGCGACGAACCCAGCTCGAATCGACTCGCGTCAATTTCTAGCCTGCGTGTTGCTGTGAGGCTACCCGTGCCTCGCTTCACGATGGAGTCCTTGAGTGCATCCATAAGCTTGTATGGTGTAACCTGTGCCAGTCCGGTCTCGTTGCCCATGTCCTTACCAGTAGCTACAAAGCGTGTAAGCCTCAGCCCTCGGTCTGCAAACTGTCTGCAATCTGAGCCCAGGTCTTTCTGGTACTGGCCCGACGCGAGCCAGGCCGGCTGCGCAGTGCTGGCATCTCGTCCTGAAGATGAGAAAAAGGCATCATGGCATTGCCTACCAAAAGCCACGGAGGTCCTTGGCCCAAACACTTCACACGTCTGTGACCAATCGCGTCGGCCCCGAACTCCTTGGCCAAGTCCTGTTGGCTCTCGGCACTCTGACTGTTTTTAAGCACACGCTACGGTGCTCAACGGGCATGCAAGTATAAACCTATCCAGGCGGAAATGCTCTCTCCTCGTGCAGGAAAGCAGGGATGAAACAAGAAGGACCCCGCCCCGCTCAAGCATGAGCTGGCAAACAACAAACCAGCTTCAACTCGCAGGCGTCTTGGCATCAACCACATGTGTGAGAGTCCAAAGGTTAAACTCACATTCCTTCCGTACACAGCAATTCGAAGTAGATGAATTATGAGCAGCCTCGGAACCTTCAGTTTCAAAAGGATTCAACGAGCTATTGGACCTGACAGCAGCATTGAAGGCCTCGTGCAGTGCGAAGGAACGCTTGGCCAAGCGAGCGATGGAGCCACTGTGCCATCCTATCCAGGAAATTGTGCACCGACATCCTTTCCAACAGTCCGCCCCGCTCGTTCTTCGCATAGAGTGCTAGCTAGCCATTCAGACTGCGCCCCGCTTCCGGCTCCGAGGCTGCCTACCTTCTCCTACTTCCGACCTTTACTCCGCTGCCTCAATTTGGAACCATGCGACGGCTGCAAACTGCTTCCTCACCTGAATCTCCGTCCGTCAGGAAACCACCAGCTTTGCCAGAGGAGTGGCATGCGATGGCACACTTTTCGATAAGGGTCACCTCACGAGATTTCAGCTGATTCGGCGGACGTTGATCTGATCAGGAAAGACGGCCGCGCCTTCCTGCCCTTCTTCAGTAAGTAGTGTGCAGCAGTGACTCCAACGATTCCTCCACCGACGATTACCGTCGCCATGGCGGATGAAACACAGAAGTATCTGAAAGCTGGTAAGCGGCTCCAAGTTCTGCTTGGTGTTGCTCATGTTTGAGGTGGTCTGAACACATCCCCGATCCTTCAGCGTTGGTTTGTGGTCGATCAACACATCCCTATCAAGCACTTTCGCAGTAGTCCGTCGGTGAAAGACTCAGGAACCTTAAGTCTGCAAGGCAAAGGGCCGCCATGATGGACAACAAAAAATGCCTAGGACGCTTGGGACTATGCCATTCCTGTTTGGGACTGGCCAATGTGCAACCGCTTCTGCAAGCATGACATATTGTGATATCCTTCAGGCACGGTTTCGTCTTAGTCTCGTCTCGCCTGTGGAGTTCCCAGCGCAACGGAGTTGCGGAGAACCGTCAGAAGCGAACCTGGCAGACTCAAAGCTGGCCTACGACGCTGATTATGATCTCACAGCGCCAGAGCTGGTCCATGATCCATGCTAATGACACAGGACAGCGTGGCGCATGCCGCGCTGGAAGTCACTCCGGATCGCAGCTACCTTGACAGACAAATCTATGCGTTGAACTTCTAGTCTGAACTTGTAATTTCTGTACCGCTGTTTGCTGAGACCACACGACATGCAGAGACCTGCGTTGAGCACCGAGGCAGCTGCCTGCTGATCCGAAGCCTGCAAAAGCCAGGCTGATGCCAAGGCCGGAAACAAAGCAACAGAACGGCTCCCAGGTCTTGTTCATGGTCCGGGAACCTGCTACAGGGACGAGTGTGAGGATCTTATGCAATCAAGTAGCATCCAAGGCTTTCCGCAGTTCCAGGTCGTTCTGCATCTCGCTTATCAGCATCTCCTTGGGCTAGGGCTGCGTCCACTTGCTAGACCGATGGCTGCTGTTTTCGGGGCATCTCAGGATCGGAAGGCTCTGACCCTCAAAATGCCTCGCCAAGACCGCACCGTCTATGATGGGTAACTATCGAGTTCTTAACTCACCCCGGATCGTCCTGACTCTCTTCATTCTCAATTTCCGGCTGGATGCTGTCGCTGAGATCCTGAGGCTGGAAGCTACCGGATTGACCGTGCTTCATCAACAACCAACGGGTTTCTGGGAATAGTCGAAAGCACCAGGAACCGCTCCGAGCTACAGCTGCAGTGATTTACGCCAACTGCTAGCTGGGCCTGCACAGCTGCAGCCTCCGCTGTCGTCGCAAGCGTGGCCTGCCAGGGTGGCAACTGCCGCCTACATCGTCATGACTGTCTCCCGAGAGTCATTGCCTGCGTGAACAATCGCAATTTTCAGAAACAGCAAACCCCGATTGCTTTAGGCATGCCTCGTCCACTCCGTAGCTTGGTAGTGCAACAGCCAACTGCGCTGCAAGGTGCAAGATAAGCTTCCGAAACTCGTCTTTGGAGGTTCGGATGCGACCAACTGCCGCGGTGCGACCTATGGCAGCGGTCGCAGCCACCAGCTGCAGTTCCTTGGGCAGATTGGCTGTGGAAGCGGCGTGCAGGGCTGCATCTGCAGCTGCCGACAGCTGCTCCTGCGGAGTACTTCCTGCTGCTCTCATGGCTTTGCCTGCTTCCAGTCCCGCTGCGATCGGGCCCTCGCCAGCATGCGATGCTACCAAATACCCAGTGATAATGGCTGTAGTGTCTGCTGCTTGCGCCCGCGTGTCCGCATCTTGCCCCATGGATTGAGTGATGCTCTCTGTGCACGAGGCCGCTGCATCAGCAGCATCATCCTGGGAAATCCCCAGGTCGATGGCAATCTTGGCAGCTGCCACCGCAGCAATGGAGAGCTGAGCTCCAATCGGCACGTTCAGCGCGGCTGCAGCATCGGCAGCTGCACTGGCTGCGGCCTTTGATGCACTCGACGAGAACACAAAATCTGCATCGTGCATCATTCTCATCAAGCATCCGGCTGCAACTTGACCATCGGGCTCCAAACCCTCAGCAGCTGCAAGGTCCTCGGCAGCAAGCGGGCACCAGAACAACACACAAAGGCTTCGCCCTGTGTTTACCCTGAGTTTTCTGCCATGCTTAACTACTTGAGAAGACGGCCACGAAAGACTAACCCGACAGATTTGATAGAGCTCCTGCGCTATTGTGCGCATGCTTGGCAGCTTCCGTAGTGCTTGAAACTTGCAAGTCCACACACTCGGCTGCGTAAAAGCGGATGCAAATGCCGTACATGCGTAGATAACAGATGCACTCGCTACGGTGCTTGATCAAATCGTGCCAGGCCGGCACCCTAAACCTGCATAAACAAACATAACGTATTCTTCACATGCAGAAGTCAAGCAATGTCAGTAAGCAAGCTGCACAAATGTCGCCCCCCCGCCCCCTTGATTCGGCGCGTTATGAACCACCAAGATAAGCTCCTACGGTTTTCACCTGGTTCAGTGCTACTGAAGTTGATGGGTAATGACAACTCCACAACATCCACAGAACAAGCTTCCGTGACTTGGACACACTGAGGAAGCGGCAGCAGAAGCCTGCGCTGCATCCAGGGCCTCCACAGGCAGGCCGCGCAGCCCAAATCTCCCACGAAATCTCTCCTGGAGACTCCTGCATCCCTTTCACGCAGTATGCCACCGCACTCTAAGGTCTTCAAAGGTACGAAAACTAAATCCGAGCGCGGCACTCTCTTCATCTTTTTTCCACGGGGAGCTTCAGCACGACTCCGATTAAAGTGACTAAAGGGTCAAGTCAGCGCATGGACACTGGAGTTGCCATGTGTCCAACTTGGAACCGGCGCTGTCCGTGAATTCCTTTGTTTTGCGTAGCGCCACGCATTTCGTGCCATCATCGAGTGCTCAAAGCCAGCACGAGGAAATTGAATCGGAGTTTTCTCTGTAGTCGTGCCATCCTGAGGTCCAGTCGCTCGGGGGGTCCGTCTTGTACTTGGCCCAATGGTCGTCATCGTTCCAGGTAGCATGCGATGCTTTTGCGTTTCGCAAGGCGAAGGAAGACCTCACTGTCATCACGACAAGGGCATACAAGGGCGTTCCTTCACAACTTCGCGGCCTTGCATTCCTCTGGACACCTTTTGTGCGTGCGGACTGTGCGGATGGCCGGCCAAGCGAGTCAGGCTCACTTCGCCCGGTGCTTTTGGAAGGTAGTGCGTCTCTTTTTCTGCATTTCTCTGCTGCCTTTTCTGCGCCATCCCGACCGCACGAGCATCTTGTCACTCTAGCCATCCCTGCAGTGTCTTGTTGGTCATTGTGTTCTTGGATCTGCTCACGGACCTATTGCAATTGGCATGCCATCTTTGACAACACCTTTTCCAAGCGTTGAACTCGTTTGTGCAAGGATCCCATCAATTCATCCTGCTGGCATTGCTGCTTGAAATGTACACTGTTTTGATCCTGCTCCGCAACGATGGCAGACACTACCAGGTCCGCAATCCAGCGAACATGTTGGCGATGCCTACGGCGCTCGGTTTGAATATATTGAATATACCTTGGGCAAAACCCCGAAACTTGAATTACACAGCTCTACCAACTGTCGAAGGCAATCTCGATACAAGGTCTGCCAAGAATGCAGCGCCTTCGGAGAAGAGAACAGCCAGAAACTACGACACCCGATCGTCACTCGAACTCGAGGGGTCTACGCAACCCCAGCAGCTGGCCTGCTCAACGGCACTCACTTCTGCGGGACGGTGCCTGCTCTCAGAGCAAAAAAGTGACGGCTCGGGTGGAGATTTGTTCGACACTCTTCTGATCTACTGCCCTGATGGATTGTTGAAAAGCGACTGCCTTGCTGACTCGAGGGCCTGAAGCTGCTGAAGCCTTGTGGCATGCAAGACGCCATGCAGATGCAGCCAGAGAAAGAGAACAAGTGCAGCATTCAAGCAGATGTGCTACCACTGTGACCACCTGTCCCGTTGCAGCAACTTGATCCTCTTGCGCTTCGTCAAAACGAGGGCTGGAGCTCCAGGCGTTTGCTCTAGGACGTCCTTGAGACGGACCTTACACTGGAGAGATCTCAAAACACCGAAGATCTTCACAGAGCCCCCCTTGGGAGCCAGCCCCCATGGCCAGCAGCTGGTGCAGATCTTCAAGAACTGTGCTCAGGTCGGGAATCAGCAGACAAGCCTCCCAAACAAAAACCACTGCAACTCATACTGACTCAAAACCTTTAGCTTTAGTCGTGGATTGGGGCCTCCACCGTCTCAAGGAACGAACAGGACGTGTCACAGAACAATTCCGCTGGCTGCTGTGGCTTGACATGTCTAACCGTCCAACCAAACTTATTCGTGGCCCAGCCTGCAAAACTTGCCTGAGATGCTGCCGGTGCATCTGCTGCACTCTCTGAAGCACGTCCACTGTGCGAGGAGGCTCCTGTCAAACAAGGCACTTACAAATAGTCTGACCACCTCAACGAGTGACTGGGGCTTCTCTGGGACAGAGGTGTTCAGGCATTTTACGAGCCATGTCGAGTCCTCGCTTCTGGCTCCGCTGGCGAGCCGGCCCTCCAGCGCCTTTGCTGGCGGCTGCGGAGGCAGCAACCGAAATGTGCTCTCCGCAAGTCGGTGAGCCTCGCTCACCAGAGATCGGATCTGACGCTCCAGGATGATCGACTCCTGCAAAGCATTCGTAGTCAAGATCTGTCAAGGCCTAGCAACGGCCTGCCTTCTGCAGGACATCAACGTGGACGTAATGCTCCAGACCTAGGCCACCGATCTCAACGCAGCGCAACGCAGAAGGACATGGCGCGTTGACTCCTCTCGAGTTGGAGAAGGCATGCCATGGCATAAGGTGTAATCGCCCGCAGCAGCTGCTGATCATCTTTACGACTAGGCGTGCTGCAATGGCTTTGCTTCTGCTCTGAAAGAAGAGCGAACTCTCGTAGATGGACTGTTGATCCACTCTCCCGGGGGAGTCTGCAGTCTCAGCTGCGCACAGGACAGGAAATGCCTGGCTATGCAGTCCACTTCAGCACAGGCAAGAAGAGTTTTTCACCGAGGTCAAGGCCCGAGTTCGGCACGGAGCAGGTCCACCTCCGACAAGGCTTCCGCTCCCCGGCTTGCACTCAACGGCCCCACAGGCGCCACGGATTGCTGCCCCCAGCTGAGAAACTTAGGCTGGCCTTTCGCTGAAGGGCTGCAAGGGGTGTGCGCTGAACACCGCGGCCGCCGAAGCCTGCCGGAGCCAAGCTACGTTCACCAAGCGTTCTCAGAGGCCCAAGCACTAGAGTCACTAGAGCCCTCAAGCCACCCTCAAGCAGTTCAGTGTGCTCACCAAGGCATGAGTAGGATTCTGTCCCCGACTCTTTGCAAGGTGGGGCTGAGGGGCATTCGCTTCGAAACATGCCAGAGACTCCGAAGAGAGGAAGCTGGTGGACCTGCAGAAGCAAACGACAAATGCGCGCAAATGCCCCACGCTTCGGACGCTTAAGACTTCCTTCTTCGTAGCATCTGCGTGGTTCGTTCGGAGGCTTAGCAACCGGGTGCACCGGGGGGGGCCTCTTGCAGCGCCTGGCTCCCACAGCGAAGCCGAAGCAGAAGCGCCCAAACGGCCGAGTATCCCTCCTCGGCTTCCGGGACTCGCGGCCCAAGGAGAAGGATCAGAGGTAAGGCAATGCCTTGCAATCCCAGCTTCCAGCGCAGTGGTGTCCAGAATATCTGGCAGCGGCGCTGGCGACTGGTAGTCCAGCTTCAGCTGGCCGAGCAAGGCGAAAGGATCGGTGCCTACAGGAAGCGGTCACGCACCATCTGCTTGGCATCTGCCTGGCAGCCAAGTCGCTGAGGCCAGGCCCCTTGGACAGGTCCATGGACAGGTTCTGCAAGCAAAGCTGCGCCACCACACGCACCTGCAGTCTGACCACTGCTTCTTCTCGGCTACGTACGTGCGCAATGTTGGCATGTTCACCCGAGGCATCCCGAGCCTGCAGCTTGCCTTTGGGTGCGAACGGGTCGCTTCGAATCTGCTGCGGATGCGATCCAGCCAGGGACTCCAAGCCCTCCACCTGCAGCCATGGACGTTGCCGGTGGACGTTCGGGGACTGCCCCAAGCGTGAGGCTGCGTGACGAAAGCTAATCACAAACTACCTTAGTGCCCTTGCTCTCATGCCTCCATGTCGACTGAGGCTGTGGCAAGTGCAGAACGAAGCTCGACGGCAAGCAGAGAAAGCTCCTCTGCTGGCACGCCTTGCGAAGTCCACCATGCGAGCAATTAATCCGTCCACTTCTTTTACTGCAAGGCTGGGTCGACCTGCAAAGCCACGCTGGTAGCCTTGTAGCTTCCGGTACAGCCTTGTCCACAGCTGCTCGCAAGCTGCTCGCAGGCTACTTCGCTGCAGCCTTTCGATGAGACCACTGAGGAGGAATCCGTTTCACGAGCATGCTCACTGCAGGCTCACGATCAAGGAATGCCACCAGTCGAATGGCAGCCAAATGCTGCAGCCTCAAATTCACGATAGATGCTGTACTCGAAAGTGTCGGCAAATAGAGCAAGTGAGCCGATGGCAATCCATTCTCGTCTTGTAGGACCCGCCAGAGGATCGGCCTTCAGCGACGGGCTCCCACTCCTCAAGAGCCCGGACATGGCTCTAGAGTTCGCTCTCCGCCTCGCTGCCATTTCCGCAATCTGCTGCAGCGGCCGCAGCACGCGTGCCTCCAGCGCAGCCTGGCAATATCTTGGCAGACAGACAAAATACCTAGCCAAAACACCCTGCCTCGAAGGGAACAAACTTAAATTCCTCGTGGCCGCAGTCCTTTCGCCGGAGCCTACATGTCGAGCCTGCGAAACACAAAGGGCAAGAGAAGGATGGAAGTGCCAGTGACCAGAACAGCCACGGCTCATGCAACCGTCTGAGCTTGCCACTTCTAGCAGTCCCCGTTGTCAAGTCCACCTATTCTGTCAATTCCACTGAAACCCACGTCAATCAGAGTCGCCCAACCCTAGCACAGCAAAGGCTCCGGCAGGAGTTGCACCCGCAAGGGAGCTGCGCAAGCCTCTTCCAGCTTTGGCTCTTTGGCTGCTATCCACTGCGTTCGTGCTGTGCAGTCACTGTCGCCCCCAACAGGCTAAAGCATCTCAGGCTTTCAACGTCCCTTAAAGAGACGGCCTGGAAGCAATGAACCCAGAAAGCCCTCTCCTGTGAAGTGCTGGCCACGTGACTCGTCAGCTCTTCCTCTGCACTGCGCGGCGGCGAGTGGCTCGCTCTTTGAGAAACCTCCGACAGCAAAAGCCAAGGTGAAGGGAGAGCCAAGCTGCTCGCAGCTGCTCGCAGAGGCAAACTTTCGTCTGTACTCGGTCTGTAAAAGAGTATGAAGTGCTAATCTGCACCGCTGGCAGCGCCAGCTACTTCGCTCAGGTGCTTCGATGTCTCTGGGAGGCCACAGGCTGCTCCATTCTTTTGGGGCAACCCCCGATCAGTGGATTCTGAAAGTCATTGCTTACTGCCAGCCCATCGGGTACATCGAGCAGCCGGCTGATCACGGCTACAGCACTTAGAAATTGTAGATGTGCACCTGCAATGGTGCTAGTCTCAGGCCTGATGCTGAGTTGTGAACGCACGGGTAGTCCGCGGCTTCTGTGGGCAGGGCCACGGAACTCTGGCACGGTTGGCTTCTTCAGTACTGCTTTGCCACATAGACTGAGGGCCTGTACGAGTTTGATCCCGTGCTGTAAATGGTTTGGGTACGTTTGGGTACCATGGTTTCAAATCTATCCGCGGCTTCGGTGCATGCGAAAGGCAGTGAGGCTTCCGGAGAGAGGCCACGTGAAAGGATCTTCCAACTGAAGGATGATACGCATCCTCCCTGCAATCAAACTTCAGAGTGGGCCGGGGCCTGTGGGAGTGAGATACTGTACAGTCACAGCCGCTGCTGCTCAAGTCTCTCAGGAGCCCAGTCGATGCCCGGACCCTTGGAATGCTCGAAACTCCGTACCTGCACAGCTTTTTGTTGGTCATCGACGTTCTGCTTGCTTACTGAACTGCAGTCGGCTAAGAGCTTCCTGAAACTGCCTGACTGAAATCGTCGGAATACTTCCAGCTTTCCAAATCCAGGCATGACATGGCATGACCTATCTTGGCTTGTCGCCCGGCTTCAGAGGCTGGACCACAGCAGCATCTTCTTAGCAAAGAAGTTTGCCAATTGTTGCCAACCCCACTAGATGCCCTGTCCCTGCCAAGGCCTTGCGCAGGTCGAGCTGGAGCATTGGGGCGGATGACATGGTGGCGCGGAAGTTGCGCACCACCCCACCTTGTCTCGGGAGCTTTGCTTTGTGTGCCTTGCTCGGGGGGAGTTTCGCCCAGGAACGCAGCGATTCCAGCTCCAGCTTGGCCAACCGAGACCCAGTGGCCCCCGAACAGGCGCCGCCCAAGCAAGAAGGACCAACGTGAGCTCTCCTCTACAGGCTCCAAACGCAAGAGAGTGAATGCGTTGTTTGTGGGAGTTCTGCGGTTCTAGCGGAGAGCCCCCTAGGTCCCCTGCTGCCATCTACTTCGCCGGAGAGCCGATGGTCTTTAGGCTTTGGGTCTCGGCTTTGGCGCTTGACGGCCCATGCGCTTGTGGGCTTCGGATGCGGATCCACTGCCGCTGGCTCTGTGGGCTGGTAACTGTTCGGGAACCCTTATTATATATTACTTTCCTGAACCACAAAATCCCAAACATCCCTGAACCCAGCCTGCCACCCTAATAATCTCAACCCTCTTGACAGCGTTGAGGACTTCGACTTTGGGGTTTCGCTTAGGAATCACATAGGGGCCTCAACAGCTAGTAATCCTATTCCGAGGGTTCCTTCACAGCAGTGTCTAGGGCATCGTTTCAGCAACCCCATCAGGGCTCCCATCTCTGCAACTTGCCATCGGAGGGGAGCATGGCATCCAGGTGGGCGCGGCTATGCAGATACCCCATGGCCAGTGCCGCGATGTCAGGCCTTCAAAGAATCAGAATACAGCTGGGAAGGGTCATGCAGTTCTGCATTGGACATTCGACATTGTTCCACGCTTCTTGGGTTGCCCATTCATCAGGACTGGTCTCAACTTGATGCGCTCGTGCTCTGTCGGTGCTACAATGCTGCTGGGCCACAGCACTGCTGGGCCACTCAGGAGTGTGAAGAGGCCAACCAAAACCATTGGGTAGTACTTTGCCTCGTCAGGTCCGGGCTTCTGAGAGTTGCTCAACATGTTCCTGACCGATTTCAGGCAAAGGCGCCTTCATGGGTATGCCAAAGAAAGTGGTCTCCGCCTCCCCTGCCTGCGAAACGCCATGCAGCAAGTGAAGGCTTTTTGTCATCATTTTCATGATGCCATGCAACATAATCAACATATCTACTATGCTACTATGTCATACACCATATGATAACGATGCAGCGAATGTAATATGTATGTGTGCATGCAGGTAGTATAACACTCCACATAATCCAACGTGCCATCGGATGCTATGCACTGAGCACACACACATGCATGCAGGCATACGTACGTAAATACGTATCATTCATATATATATATACAATTGTACCTATATATACATATATATATATATGTACATATATATATATACTTAGTTATGTGCATCTATGTACATGAGACACATAGATAGATAGATAGATAGATAGATAGACAGACAGATAGATAGATAGATCAAGTACATCAGATAGATCAAACAGACAGACAGTCTGTAGACCTGCGTAAAGCATGCGCTTGCCTTCTCTCTACATGTGCCTTCTGTTCATGTCCGGTCCGGCCTGAAGGCTCTGCACAGTCAACCCATAGATCGCCAACGGGATCAGACCGCTGCTCTTAACGAAGGGCCACACGGAGGCCTGGCCCTTGAGCTGGCCTCGAGACTTTGCAGGGCATGCGTTCCGCCGTTTCGCGTACCCTCACACCAGCCACCGCAACACGGTCAGGCGCAATGATCGATTCCCTAAGCAGGAAGCCTTTGCACTGCAGCATGCTGCAGCCCAAGAGACTTAGCCAGTCAAGAAGGAAGGCCATCAGCAAGAAGAGGAGGTTGATGGCCACAGCGGCCATGGCAGCAGCCAGCAGGAGCTTGGCAGAGCCAAGGGCCTCAAAGGTCGATGTCATGAGTCAGGACCCCTCTCCTTCCTCTCTCTTCGTCTCTTCCCTGAAGTACTCCAGTTCTCCCCCTCCCCCCCCCACTGCAGTGCAGCCCGGAGTCTCTCTCAACACGCGGAAGTTGGGATAGCACCCAGAAGGCGATGAGGAGGCTGAAGAGGCTCCTCGAAACGGGTCTTTTTCGTTGTCTCATTCTCGAGTCGCTCCAAAGGCAAGCAAAGCCAAGAGTCTGCAGCAAGCCGCCCGGAGGCTCCCAGACGGCAGAAGTCAGCACGCCCCAGAAACATCCGTACCTTCGTGAAAACTTCAACTTCTCCCAGCAGTTTTAATTCCAAGCACTGGCACCTGAAGGACAGCAATGAAAGGTTCAGAAGAGCCAGCTGCCCCCAGAAGTGTCCTTAGCTCGGACAAACACTGCACAAGCCTACCCTAGAGGTGTCCTTCATTTTAGCCTGCAGACTGTAAGATGGAGCCTTGCCAATCTTGACTGCCGTCATTTTTGCAGCCCTGCTTCCAGCCACGTGCAGAAGCAGTGGCACGGCAGTCAGCGCTCTTGTCACAGCGGGTGCATCCTTCCAAAGCCCCGCCTTGTGTCGGCTGGACAAATACTGTAGCGGAACCCTTTGCAAGCACATTAAATTCCATCCGCAAGCCTCATGGAGGACACATGCTCAAATCTCAGGGGGATCATGACGGTTGAGAGCTTTCAGCTTCGGGCTCGGTGAGGGTGCGCGATCAGCAACTGCTGCAGGAACAAATTCTTTTGCGAGCTTGTCTCTTACCGCACTCTACAGGGCCCGCATGCAGAGAGATGGGTGCTGTTAAAGGCTGGAAGTTCTGCGACACTCTGCGTGCAGTACGGCCTACGGCCTACGTTTCGATTGCAGGTCAAGGCACCACGAAGTCCAGGACCATGGCACGAGCCGCTTCTCTCTAATCTGTGTATGTCTAAGCGTCTGAGCCAAAGCAGCCAAACATTTCTGCTGCACCGCACGGTCCGGTGCCGGGCTTCCTAAGCTTTCACAGTTCCCTGCTGGCCCCCCGGGCCTCGGACCAAGCCCGCAAGGCAGCAACGCTACGACCCGCACCAGCCACTGCTGGGGGCAGAAGAGAGGGCAAGCCCTGCCAGAGGGATTCCGCTTCACTGCTTCTGCAGGGCTGAACGTCTATCATTCTGTACTAGTAGGTCGCACTTCTCGCGTGGCGTTGGAATATGCAAGTCCTGCACCCTGAGAACATTGTCCCCTTATGCATGGGGCCTGAGGCCACCCTCAGGTGGAAGTTGCTGCTTCCAAATCTAAGCTTGAACCATCTGCGCGACCTGCCTCCTCGGAAAGAAACTCGGAGGCACCCAGCTCACCAAGGTCTCCAAGGCTCCCCCACTGCTCGGATGCACGCAGAAGCGGTCGGGCGGCCCCACACCAAAGCTCTGAGACCAGGTCGCGAAGAACTCCTTCCCGAAACGCTTCTGGGCGCAAGCAGTGCAAGCTCTGGCTGCTCACACAGCAGCTCAGAGCCGACAGCAGCTCCTCAGCCATAAGGCTCGTGAGCATTGCACTGCTGTCTTTCTGGCGCCGGTGCACTGCCTGGAGCACAGTATCGAAGATATTCCTTACAGCGTCGGCAGCCTCGGACCAGGGCTCTGTCAGCTGCAGCAGTCGCATTAACGTTCGTGGCATGGCTGGATCTGGAGCTGATGCTTCGAAGTGCTGTAACTCCTCCACAAACCTGGAGAGAAACTCAGCCAGCATCAGGCCCATGCTTTGCCAGCACAAGCCGAAGGCATTAACAGGCTCGGGGCGATCTGGCTCTTGGCTCAGAAACCCGCTTCGCCACAAGTCCCAAATTCGAACCAAGCCGGTGAGATCAGAGACCGTTCCGTCTTTCAGGCCTTGAGCCAAAGACTCCACCAGCGGCCGGGGTGCAAAGGGAGGGGGAACGGCCACCGTTTCAAGCAGAGCGCTGGCACTCCGGAGCTCCTGAAGCAAGGAGCCGAAGTCTGCGAGCTGCTTCAAAGGTGCTTCCAGGGCCTCGGGGCCAAGGCCAAGGCCCGGCAAGTGCAGTGGTCGCCACCGGAGAGTCCCCTCACTGTCAGGCCCCACCATCTCGCCGTAGAAGCCGCAAAGCATCTGAGTGGCAATCTGAAGAAGGGTTTCCTCCGACAGCGGCAGCGCCATGAGGTACTCCTGAAAACAGGATCACACCTCACGCCAACACTTGTGTCGACATCATCTCCCCATCTCCCCTCCTGATCCTCGCCGCGGAAGTACTTCTCAAGGAGGAAGCGCTCCTCCTGCAAAGCATCCTGCCAAGGTTGGTGAGGCAGCGGCAGGCGGCCGTGATCGCTGCCTTGAGCGTGCAAACTCTGCTTCGGGATCTGCTTCGACAGTGGCAAGCTCTTCCGATTCCTGGCCTCGCAGAGCCACATCATCTGCTGACGGTTCAGGCAGGATCTCCTCCGGCCACGGCTGCTCGCGGTCGCTGAGGCCTTCGCCCCCATCCCGAAGACTCAACACTCCTCAAACCCAAGTGCGAGGTTCTCACAATCGGATCCGCCTTCGCTTGAAGCCTCGCTGACGGACCCACTTCCAGCAGTGCGAGGTGACACCTGTAGACTGTGGACTAGGGCGAACAAAAAAGAATCCCAAAGAAGGACCAATACAGCACAGGCAACAGGCAGGCATGGCAAAGACACGTCAACCGCAATTCAAGCTACCATAGCAACTATTGCAGAGGAGAAACGGTCTCATCCATCACCAGATCAGCGATGGACCAGGCTTCCTCCCATTCCTCGCAAGCATTGTCGGCCACCTGATCCGCCGTTTCTGTTTTTTCGCCAGGAAGAGCAATTGACAGCTGGGGCCCGAAAACCTTCCGTGGGATGGCATGATGATGCATGATGAATCATGATGATGCAGGCGGTGAGCAGACGGATGCTGCCCTGTGACGCCCCCCCAGACGGGCCAGGCCTGCTGCAGCTCGAGCTCCATCAGAATCTTTCTATCCTGCGCCTGCTCGCCGGCTTGGCGTTGCTGCTGCTGTTCACGCTTCTTCCGGCTCTCGTAGATTCCACGGAGCATGCGCACAACACGTCCAGGAACTTGCGTAGGTGAGCAGGCCAACAGCAGCAGGGCACGAAGGATGGCAGCATGGGGCTCGACAGTAAACTGACGTCTCAGCTCGCACGTCATGAAGGAGTTAAACTGCTCCTCCAAGTAGGCCGCAGCATCCAGCTGCGAGTGCACACGCAGCTTCTCCAGAAGACCGGAAAAGTCTCGTTTGACTTCCTGGCTCTGCGGGAGGCCCGGTCATCAACCTAGTATACGGACCAGTAAGAACCTAGAAGGTGCACGCCTTGATACGGCTAGCTGCAGTGCTCCCGCAATCTTCTGTGCTGAAGTCAAGTTCAGGTTTCCGAGGAGTTGGTGTCCATGCATTTGTGGTCCCGAACACGCTCCAGGCACCAGGCGAGGGCAGTAGCCACGTTGTCCGCCGTTCCGTTGCCTTGCAACATGCCTCAGGGATCTTCTGGGATCGTCCCGAACACCGACTGCACCGTCCCCCGCAATTGCAAACTGGACGCCACGAGGCAAAGGGCGAGGCGAGAGGTTGTGATACATATTCAGGATTATTAAGGCTTACTAAGGTACAGCGCAGGTCCAACAAGCTGCGGGCCGGACCTTGAACCAGCTTGAGAAATTCCTCGCGAACCCGCTCCTTCTGGCGCCGTCCGAAGGACGAGCGAGCTGTCTCCGCCGCCATTGAAGCGCACCGGAGATGAGGCCACGCTCATGGCACTTTTTTCTCATGCATTTTCAGGGCTAGCTTAGAGCCAGGGAAACAGTAACTGTAGGAGATCATAGAAGAAAGAAATGGAGCCGATATTTCAGGCCACGGACTGCCCAGAAAACAGCTGATACTGACACTCCTGCAGACTGGAGTTCTGGTCTTGCGCTGAGAGCCAAGTGGCTGCCGTTTGCCAGATTCTCGCACATGCAATCGCACATGCAAGGTGCACGGAGTTCAATGGCCATGGGCAATGGCTACTGGGTATGACCTTCTTGGCACATTCGCGCAAACACTAAAAGAGCTTGGCAGCGATCCTCGTGTTAAGGCTCGCTGCTCCCTAAGAATGGTCGACCAAAGCCACGACGTCTGGGATGTTTGTCTGCGCTGAGCTTCTGGCAGCTTTCATTTGTCCGTGCGCATGAAACTCTGGTGCACTTCCCGGACATCTGTGGCTGCAACCCTGGTGGCGACCTATGTACAACCTTCCGAGATTCTTTGGGCAACCCACGCTAGCCCTTGCTTTCGGGCAGCATGGGCAGTTGCCATCACGGGTTTGCCAACACAGCACAGACCAAACCAGTATGCCGACAAAAGCTTACAAGCTCCGACATGCAACAAGGGTATGCCCTTAACACAAATCTCCCTCTCTGTCTATCCATTACTCCCATGTCTCTGTGTGGGACCGAAACGATACATCCAAAGCTTCGCACCATCGCCACTGCCAAACGCTGCAAGGTCCCTTTGCCAAGCCTTACCAATCTCTGTGCCTGGCCGCCTTCGGACGCACTTTGGGCTGAGCTGAGGCGGAGCTGGGTCGATTGACCCGCCAGGAGCGCAAGCTCTCCTCCGCCGGCTCAAGAAAATCAAGACGAAATGTACTCTCTTGACTTCTCCTGACCTCATGTTGAAAATTAGCAGTGGTTTTATCACAGCCGCTGATTCAACCGCAAGCTACAAACCCGACTGCTTGCTGCGGGCCCTGCCATGTCATGCTATCCTTAACCTTATATGGCTCCTACTCTACTATCTCCCTGAATCGTTGGATTCACTCGGCTTTGCGAGCCGAGCGATTTGGGTAAGTCGATTTGTCATACGAGACTACGGTGGCATCTGCTTCTCTCCCCCCCGGGTTCATTTGGCCATGCCCTCAACTTGGGCGTTACTGCTTTCCTTGGTTTCCCTGGCAACTCGGGAACCAACGAGTCAACCAACTTGTGTTGCAATTGCCTGTGCTGCTCTTTCTAGAAAGACACCCAGATTCCAGACTCCAAGCCCAATCTGCAACACATCGGCCAGAAAGTTGGTATCGGATGTAGAGCGGTTGTGCGATCCCATCCGCACCTCTGCATGCTCTGGCAAAGTCGCCATCGTGACCGGAGCGCTAGGCAACAGACTTGGCGGCCGGAACTGCCAGCCTAGGCCCGTCCAGCAATCGTAAGCTAGTCTCTAGTTGATCGGGAGTGATAGGCTGGTACGGTCGTGGACTGTTGCAGTGTCGACGAAGCTTCAAGCAGTCAAGGTGCCCTCCCACTGACGTCGGTCTGCAGTGTGGACGTTCCGTCCAACCGCGGCATTTGGAGCTGGTCTTGGATGGCTGTCCTGCACATGCTATGACTGCCAACAACCGTTGTGAATTCGAAGCAGACAAAAGATCATTTCTGCCAACACCGGCCAGCCTCGCTGGTTTCTACATGTACTGGGCTCCCAGCATTTCCGTGACTTTGCTGAGGCACTGCTGTAGTGATTTCCTGCAGGCTCGTCGCAAGCAGGCACTTGAGCGAGTTGAAGACTCTTTGCGGGTCCTCTGCAGGCTTGGAACGATTTACGTGATCGGAGATGCTGACGGTTTGGATCGACAACATCGGCGCATATTGAGATCGCGCAAGCATCCCCGGAACCTCCGCACAAGGAGCGTCGCAGGGCAAGGTGACCTAATTCTGCGGCTCATTTATTGTTCTGCACCACCGATAGAAGCATGGAGGGAGCGGGCTCTGAATGAAATTTTAATCTTGGCCTCGACAGCAAGCCAATCCCCTCCTCGAAGCAGAAAGCATCACTGCAAGACAATTCTAACAAACTAGGGCCACCCATGCGTCGAGGGACGGTCTACCTCAGCAAGCCTCAGATTCTGTCAGACAGGATGTACCATTGCTTTAGGCTTTAGGCTGTGGAGATGGCGCGACGCACGAGAATTCCGCTGTTACATCCTGTTGCGTTCAGTAGAAGCAACAGGACCCCGATCGGGACGGACCTGTGGATGCCTTGGTGCCCTCATCGCGATGGATATAGCTCATAGATGAAACAGACTTTCCGTGGTCTTATATGTATTTGACCCAGGTTCGTGACCCACAACAAACAAACCAAGCGATTGAATTGATGTATAGCACCCCTAGTAGCGCGTCTTGCAAGAGAGCATCCTTAAGCAGGCATGGCACCCGGCCTTCTGTGACACTGTCGGCGATCTGAAACTCGCTGTTTCAATGGAGTCCGTCACGGTCACAACTCTCGAATTCAAGTTCGAAGTGTCCGCGTCAGTGCCAAGAGTCAAGTCCAAGTGGAAGGACACTCCCTTGGCCAGGCAGGGCCAGGCATGCTAAGCCTGCTAAGCTGGTAGGGTCTGCTGAGCCTTCGGAAATCGTTCTTTGCACAGCCGAAGCACTTCCGCGTCTGCTCCCGGAGAATAGTCCTTTGTCATCGTCCTCGTACGCCTCGGTACCTTGATCCGGGCAATCCGAGCAAAACAACCCCCAACGCTCCAGAGGCATCAGTTCAGGAAAGGAGGAGGCAGGATGAAGGCCACGTCAAGGTCAAACACTCTCAAGTCTCAAAGCATCTGGGCACAATGTCGACTAATGCTGGCTACGTGACGTCAAATGTCGGCGTGAATTCCAAAGGAGTCGTCGAAGGCGAGTCACAGAGCGCAAGCCTGCAGCAGCACTGTGGATATTTGTTGCGGCATCTCGGCTGTATACTGCTCTTCTCCATTTTGGCCCAGTGACGAATCTTCTCGTGCGACCGGCACGCCTTCATCGTATGCAAACTCCTCGACCGGGTCGTGCTTAACTGCGCTGACCTCAAGGCACTGCCGTCCCAGTCGGAGTTCGAGTGACTGCAACGCAGCTCCTTATTGCCAAACCGAGGTCAAGGCAGAATGCCTCGCAAGCTATGGACAGACATCCAACGCAGTCAGGTCTCGACAACACTTCCCCGCCTAAGCGTGGTTACATTCTTCGGGGAACTGGAAGATGATCGCCGCGGGCACGCACCTCCAGCCGCACAGCACCGCAAAGCTGGTCACTGCCACACCATGTTCTTCCGCGATATCGCTTGCCTTCCAATGCGCTTGAAAGCAGCTCGGCCGAGATGGGGCTCTTGACGTGTATCCTCGTGGCCGGTTCCTTCCGCAAAGCTGCACTGTGCGAAGCAAAGGTGCAACTCTCAAGCAGAGGCGGAGGCGAACTCTGCGCGCCTGCGCCTGTGGGCTCGGCTCTGAATGGATGTGATGGATCTGAACTTCTCTCGAGGAAGCCGTTGCTGGACGACGTTGTATCTTGCTGGGCTTCACAGCTGCGCCACAGAGTGACAGCTCGTCTGGGGCAACTTCGTGCTGCTTCAGCAGCTGCGCAACCCCGCGTCTCGTCATGGGCAGCCCTTTCCGGACTGGGCCGACCTCACATCTCGACTGAGCCGGCGACCCGTTCTGCAGCACGTTTTGAGCGGTTTCACTCGCTTGGTCGTGGAGGCTTTCGTGTATGGAAACCTCTTCAGTACAAGAAGAGTCTGAATAGGGAAGTACTTGCGGCTCGGATCCGGCCCCATCACTGATCAGCCGACCGATTTCCGGTGTGGAAGCCCTGTTAAATATGCAGGGCTTCACGATTCGGACAGGGAGAGCTTCAGCAGGTTCCTCTGGAGCCTCGATAGCCTTTTGAAGCACTTCCTTCCCTTCCCCGGATCTTTGTCTTTGCATCGGATGCTGTGGCAGCCTCTGGGGCTGCTGACGCTTCCCGGGCTGCTGGAAGTCCGCTGACGGAGGTCGGAGCTCCAGGTGCAACTTCACGATCATAGGCTTGCTGACACTCTTGACAGCGACATGAACGGGCGCCAAGTATGCTGTCTCGTCCGCAGACGCAGATGTCAGCTCGCCTTTCTTCTCAGAGTCAGGAAGAAACCTGCAACAATCGCACAGAAGTGCATCATTCGAAGAGCACCTAACAGCTCACCTACAGCGCACACATGCGCACCTACAGAGCTCGCCTGGATGCGAGAGACTCTGGCCAAGGCAGCCAGCCACGTTCCGTCGCTTCGGCCACGGCTTCGGGCCGGGCAGGCCGAGGCTTCGACGCAGACGCTGGCCTCCCCGCTCTCTTTGGGCCCCTTTTTGGGCTCTATCTATCTATATATATATATGTATGTATATTTATATTATATAATATATATATATATATATAAATACAATACATATATATATATATATGTAAATACAATACATATATATATATATATACATATATATATATATATATCCTATACCATTCTGCCCTCCTCCCCTAATTCAGAGTTTTGAAAAAGCGCCTGCTGTGGAGTTGAAGTCGACGTGCAGTGCCCGGTGGACCCGTCAGAGCTCTGTCAGCCTGAGTATGCTCAACAACCAGAGAGACAGCTGCCGTGTTTCCGATGGAGGTGACAAGACCCCTATGAACCGCAACTGGGTCGAGTTTACTGCTTCAGCCCCCGTCCCTGTATGCCAATCTCTGTGGCACTTTGTGCGCCCTTGAAATCAGCACACACACACACACACGCAGTGATGTGACCCAGAAGAGGATGCCTGTACATGGTTCGTTGGAGCTGGGTATCGTTAGGTGGTATGGAACGGTGAGCATCACATGCAGGGCGGGCATCAGAATGCCATCGACTTTGCTGGACTCGAGGAACCAGAACGAACGGCTGCGAAAGAGTTGGTGTCATGACTGTGGGCGCTCGAAACACCGGCGATCGGCAAGTGACACCTGCAAACCCTAATGATAATGCTCAGGACAGAGAAGAGATTCCGTAAGATTCCTTGAAGCCTCTGCCGAGTGGCTTCCGCACAGCCTGGTGGGAAGGCACGACCATGTCGTGGAGCCTTCTCCGACAACCGGGGCCGCGACCTGCGAACTGTCAACCCCCAAGATCAAAGCGGGATGATGCTACAAGTCGAGCGTTCTCTGCATTCCTGGCCTCCCCAAGGGTGGGGGTGCATTGGCGTAGGAGCCCGACTGGCAAAGACGTATTGCAGACTCTTGCTACTCTACCCTGTCTTGCACACGAGAATATAGTCGTCACTAGTTGGATGACTAAATTTGACTAAATCAACAGGAAGTCCTGGCTGTGGAGCAGCTCCGGCTGAGGGTCGATTCCAGGGTCGATGCTTTCCGCTTCCATGTTCTCCAAACTGGCGTGATGCATTCGACCAGAGTGGAGTGCTCCGGCTGTGGAGGTCTCCATCTCTGCGATCTCATCTTCCAGATCCAGAGCCTCCGACTCGTCTGCCGATCTGTCGCCTTCACAAACACCAGGCCCAGCCTCCGCTTCAACTGGAGGTTCCTCCACTCTTTCGGGACTGTCCATGGCAATGGCGTCACTCCGGACCCTCTCAGGAAGGAACCTTGCCACAGCCTCCTCCGTGTCATCCGATCTGCCATCCACGTCATCCTCTAGATCGTCTTCCGTTGACTGGCGCTTCGTCGAGAATGCTCGCATCACTGCATGCATGTTGAACTGCTCCGTGAAGTCCGTAGGCGGCGCTGTCGTGGGATCGACATTTTCGTGCTCACCAACTTGGTCTAGAGTGAAAGGGGCAGACTGCAGATTGGGCTCATCGCCTGCCGAATTGTCCACCTCTGCAGCCACCACATGCAATCCAGTCTGCATTGTGCCCGGGCGCAAATCCGGCAGTGGCGGGCGCAAATCCGGCAGCACAGAGTGCGAAGGCACGGGTGGAGGGCTGGTGCTTTTGGGGCTCTGGGATCTGGGCTTGCCAGGCTGTGGATGCTGATGAGTTCTGCCACGCGCTGTGCTACTTGTTGCCAGCACCAAGGACGAGGCATCCACAGATTCCTGAACCAGTCTGGGCTTATGCCGCAAGGAGTGACGGACGTGGTGCTCTTGCCGATCAAGGACCTCACCTGCCACCGTCTGCAGCTCTTCAGCCTCTTTCTTCTCCAGAATGTCCAGATCTGGCTGGTCTGTGACCAGGCGCCGTCGTCGCGGGGTCAACTCGGGGCTGGAATTCTGGCCGGTGTATGGCGAAGTGGCAGCATCCGAGTCGCTTGCCACGCCGGCGTCGGCCTCATTTCCTCCAAGCCTGCTGGGCATGCTTGCGCCACTTACTCCACTTGTTGGCCGTGAGGAAGTTTGTGCCACTTGCCGGCCGGCCAGATCTCTGTAGACCCTCGGCGACAGCTTCGCGAGACCCGACTTTGGAGAGGGAGAGGTGGTGGATGCCTCCTTGGTCGCATCCCTGGCCTTCATCGCCCAGTTGGAGCCATGCTTGATCCCTCCCCTTGCTTTGGCTCTTGGCCCGCTTGGCTTTGCAGCGGCTTTCGGTGCCGAGGCCCATCTCAGAAATGTAGCCTGGGAGCGCTTCTGCAAAACCTCGTAGGGCAAGATCTCCTCCTGGCAAAACGTCTCGGTCTCTCCGTCTCTCGCTCTCCCTCCCGAGAACTCCAGCCTCCGAAGATGAAGCTTCAGCCTCATCTGTGCCGTGAGAGCTCTCATACAGCGCCTCCTTGTAACCTGGGCTCTGCACGCTGTCATTGGGAGTCATTGGGTGAATCACCCAAGGACACCCAGGCCCCGTGGACGATGCGAGGCTACAACTTCGGGAGAGGAGAAGGAAGGGGGTCCGAGCTCGCGCGCGCGCGCGCGCGGGCGCGGCAATCTCCCAGCGCTTAAAGCGGCTCAAAGCCAACAGGACAGGCCAGGGCTTGCCATTCAAGCTTGGGTTCTGGAATTGAGCTTGTCACACTACTGGCCAGGCACATTTTCGAAACAGCTTTGAGCTACTGGTAGCAATCGATGATGATTACACTCGCACATGCGATCAGTGGCCGTGCCAAGTCTGGCTGCTCTTCCATGGGTCAGGTGGGAGTCCTCCCTGACTCTACCTACTGGCTCGCCAGGGGGCACCTTGAGGTCTACTGCGTTCTTTCTCAAGGGGCTTGCTTTCACACTTCTGTAACAAAACTAACACAGTAAATGATTGGCACAGGTGACGCCGAATCCGAACGAGATGACCCCGAGGAGCCCCAGCATCGCCATCCCCTTACCCTGCCCTTACGTGACCCATGTCATGTCTGAATATTGCCCAGGGAACTTTCGGCATTGGCAGCAAAGCGTTCAGACATTCGCTGGGACAAGTTTGCATCGAAGCGCCTGCAGTTCGCGAACGACGTTGGCTCTAAACGGCTCGGCGCTGAGTTCACAGAGCGGGGGCGGCTGTGGCTAGCACGGGACCAGATGCGGCTTACGCATGTCTGGCTTGAGGCTTTCAAGCTACGCAAGCTTCAGTCCACACTGGGAGCTGGTCGGGCAGGCCTGTCATGCAGCATGTCCGAAACGCTACGCTGCCGCAAGAGATCGTTCGTCGATCCCCGGTGATCGTCATCCACTTGTTCTGTGCCGGGTGTCATGGACTGAAGGGGGCTGACGGCACCCAAAGTGCTTGACCTTTGAGTCCGTGGGCTGGAGAGAGGAGCCGACTCTTGGCTTTCGGAAGATCTTGAGCTGACGGAGTCCGCCTCATCTGCCGGCAGCTGGCCTTGAAGATATGCCTGCGAGGCCTCCACGGCCTCTTGTGTCTTCTCGAAGTCTCTCTCAGACATATTTGGCAGCAGGGCACAATGCAACCACTTGCGGAGCTTGAAATGCATCTTCAGCATCGCCTGCTGGTGCTTCAATGTATGCAGGGCCATCTGCCCTGCATCCATGCAGGGGCTCCCGTGACTCTGCTTTGCTTGTGGCCCCGCTGCAAGCAGGGCTGGCAAATCGGGGAAGAGGTCGATCTCCACGCTCTTGCCTTCGGCATTGGTCTCAGTGCCTGAGCGCCGTCCCGACTGAATTCGGGATCTCTCTCTTCACATCGCAACTGCGCACATGACATAACTAAGAAGCACGCTCATATACAGTTTCGTGAATAAGCATGTAGAGGCAGTGAGTGCAGACGTTCTTGCTACTGTATCGTCCAACAGGGCACACCGGGGTTTGCCTAAGTGCGCCACCAGCAGCATCGATCTTTTCTTGTGCAACACCCTTTGATGTCCAGGAATCAATCCTTCGATTCGTCCTCGGGCATCGACGATCAGACAGCATTGGGAACAGCACATCTTTTGACAGGGAAGAGCCCATGGAACAAGAAGGACAAGCAAGTTTTCTCCACCAAGCATCGCCAACTGCTGGGTGACCTGCCACGGGCCCAGGAGATGATCGGACCCGGTCAGAGCGCAGTGCCGTGCGAACGAATTCAGTCAATTGCACCGTCTACCGGTTTATTTGTGCCTCCAGCAGCTGCTCCAGAGCGTGGCCTCAACTGACCCACAAAGGAATCCCTCGAATCGAACAGCTACTGCTAACTAACGGCTGGGAGGAGTGCATGGTTTGGCTGAGAGAGGGATCCGACATCCTTTGCGCGAGCCGCCCGGATCTCTGAACCCAGGGGCCATCATCCAGGGACTACTTGGTTTGGCATTGACTTTATCGCTAAATTTTCCCTTCTACCAAGCATCTGGAAATCCATGACTCAGACTGGGAACTTGGAATAATTTTCGTGAACCTTTACCAACCTTTACCGAGCCTGGTCACCCACTTCGACTAATCCAAGCTTACCAAGCTCCCGGCTGTAGCCCGACGAAATCGTGCTACCATCTTGCGCCAGCTTCTTAGCCTGCTGAGATGCATCTGCATTTGGGCGCTGTCTGGGAATGCAATGTAGACATGTGCACACAGGCATGACAAAAAGATGCAGGAATGTGCACATACATACATACATACATACATACATACATACATACATACACACACATACATACATAAATACATATGTATGCATACATACATACACACACATACATGCATCCCTATCTACCTACCTGCCTGCCTACCTACCTACCTACCTACCTACCTACATACGTCCATGCACTAACACTCTTACACAACATAGCCGAACCTCACCTAGCCTAACATACCTGGCACAGCATCTCATAGCGTAGCTTGGCACAGCTTGGCATAATGTAGCGTTGGCATACACGATACACACAGTGTGTTATCTAGCGTGTGACACGTACCTTGGAAATTGTCGACACCTGAAATATTACTGTACCTGCACGGAAACACATTATGCATGAGTCATTACATATTACATATTGTGCAACATTATGCGCTATGTCTTCAACATTGCACAATTTACAGCTTATATCTATAGGTTGCAGGATATATACCATGTACTCTATATTGGGCAGCATAGTATATACTGATTTCTACACTGAAAACTATGCATTGGACACGAAATAATTTGTACATGATCCTCTTCATACTCTACACTGAACACTGTGCATTGTCTCGTGTAGATTCGGTCTTGGACACTGCACAGTACATATTATACATTCTGCTAGTCTGCTATGTACATGTTAATCGTTTTAAACAACACACACACATATTTATATATCTGTACATATATGCATATATATGTGTATACATAGTCATGCAATCGTCCACTTATTCCCAGCGCGGATTGCACACTATGCATTATACACTATACCTTATACCTTACAACTCTGTACTATACATTCTATGATATTGCTTGTTACATGTTACAAGCCTTGCGTAACGTTCAGGAATCATGGGAAACATCAGGCTGTCTGTATTATGAAGTACATGTTAAATGTTGCATATTATACATGTACGAGAAAACTTCGCTATATTATGTAACATAACATACATCTCGCATGTTGTATATGAATTCTGTGGTATCTGAAAATATATCAGAAGCTACGTATTGTGTGTGGGCTAATGTCTAATGTTTGTCGCACATTATATACTATGTGTTGTACAAGGCTTGATGTGTGTATGTATATATATATATATAGAGAGAGAGAGAGAGAGAGAGAAATACTGCACATGTATAATACTGCATGATATACCGGCAAACTATCCTGCATGTACCGTGCTTTAAATGCCATATATTGTATGCTACGTACTTTAGGTTGTACACTATACAACATCTAACGTTCAGCATGTATGACTACATTACATAGTATCCCATAAAATGTCGTAGGTTATGGGTTATACCTAGCATTATAGTATATGCTCTACAATCAAATGTGAAAGACACACATATATATATATGTGTGTGTGTGTGTATCAGGCACCTGTTCTTGCGTATGTATCTATCTATCTATATCTCTATATGTATATATAATTAACGAATTATTAGCATTATTCTTATTATATTATCAGTATTATTATTGTTATTACATACATATATATATATACATATAGATACTTCAGTATTTACGCACATGCACTTGCACATCTGTAGTGTCAGAGATACATTACAAAGGTCATATTCCATTGCGTCATAGTAAATAAAACTTTGCATTGAACGAGAACAACTTACGTTTGCCGTCATATTGGATCCAGGGTCAACAGACCTGTGACGGCTTCGCCACGAAACGGCAGATCAGAGGGGTTTAACTAACAACATGGGAGCCTCGGCAACAAACAAAGGGTTATCAGAGCAGCTTCAACTATCCACGAGCAGGCGGACCAGCGTCCCCTGCAAGCAGCACCAGCAGTAATTACTGATGGCGAGTGTCGACGGCCGAGCAGATGCTTCTTCTCGGAGAATGAATCAATCCATAAGCTACAGGAGAATCAATCCATAAGCTACATGCCATTGGACACATGGTTCCGAGTTCGCGAACAGAACTACCCTCCGATCGGGTGATTTGCGGCTCGCAAGCGCCATCTTGGGCCCCTCGTTATCGGCCGTAGAGGTCCGTGACAGTGAGAGCCACTTCCAGATCAACGCTCTTTCCTACAATGATGCCCTTCTGAATGAACAGAAGAAGGATAATCAAACAAGAGTATCAGAAGACTGGTGATAGTAGTAACTTGGTAGTAGAGGTGGTGATGAGAACATTGAAGGACTTCAGCCCAGCCTGCTCCGCCAAGACGTTCAAGCTTCCATCCACGGCTCGTAAAGCTGCCTCGATGGCCCGGACCTGTGCACTGTGATATGCATTCGAGGCTCGAGGCAGGAAAAAACCAAGCCTGGTCCGGAGCAGGTCTGCTTGCCGGCCTCGTCCCAAAAACACAGAGATCAAGGCCAAACGCAGGCCGCCTGCCGAGTGCCACGTGCGCGCCAGGGTGCACTTCCATCGCTGCGCCGAGCGCTTGCTTTCGCAGCTGGAGGCTGCGTAAGCTGTACAAAGCAGCCAGAAGCTTGCAACCTGCATCGAGATAAGGGGTGCGTCAGGGCCATGCAACACGATGTGAAACTGAATGCGAGTACTTGCAGTCCTGCATAATTTGCTCCACTTGCTCAGCCTTCAAGTATGCTTAAGCGTATCAGCTTGAAGCGGTCTTCGAAATTCTTGCAGCATCAAAACAAATCCAGCGGTACTTCAAGCGCTTGTCAAAACGATTTCACACATGCAAAGCCTCGCTGCGCTCGAACGAGGCCACCTCAGAAGATCGCGATGTCAGTAACATCTGGTTTCTCATGGGATGCAGACTTCCTCGGCCATGCGGCTCGGCTCCCCCTTCAAGTGCCACATTGGATGCTCACTGCTAGCCGAGTGTCCAAACTGCAGCAAGCCCATGACGAGCGATGCCTGTGCTACACTGCACGTACGTTATTACGTAGTTACGTATTTTGAACAGAATGCGAGAGTGCAGCCGACTGTTAGATACCTGGAAACAGCTTGAACCCTAAATCCTACAGACACCCTAAGTAGACCTGGAATCCGGATCCCAGAATACTGCAACCTGCAAGTGAAGCCTGAAGCCTAAATCCTAAAACATGCACAAGCCATCCACAAAGACCTCGGCGCCCACGCAGCCACGGCGAAAATCATTCCCACGGCAATTAGCAGCCGAAAGGACCTGTCGGCAAATCCAAACATGCGTTTTTGTTTCGCATGAATCCGGAGGGCTTTGTGAAGGCTCAATATCAGTATCTCGCTGGTACGACGTATAGCATTATGAAACAATATGAAGAGACTTTGTAGGTTATGACGCAAACAAGTAAACGTCATGCAAACACCGACTTGTGACCACAGAACTGAACCGGAAGAAGTGGATTGATCGCACACAGCAGCACCTGCCTTGAGCAAATTTTCAGCCTTCTTCAGCAGCTTTGCCGATGCTGTTGCAGTGTACCCGAAGGTACCTTAGGTCGCAAGTGAACCAAGCCATTGACCTATGTCTACTAGCTGGGGCAATAAGCCTCACAGAGCAGATGCTGGATGCGTTGTGCTCGGTGTGCGCTACTCGATGCCTCTGTATACTGGCCGGGCTACATTCACCAGTGCAAAACCGTGACACTGACACAAACGGTTGCTGGGAAAACCAAATCACAAACCCTAATCCCGGGATCTGTTGTCGCGAGGGCCACGTCCACGCATGAAAAACCACCCAAGGGGCGTTCCGAGGTAATTGAACGGAGGTCTTTGATGATCTCTTCCAAGAAAGGCCGGTCCTTACTTGGAACAAGAAACAAACAGTAACTTCGCAAAGAGCTGCGCTCGCCCAATGCAAGGTTCGTCCTCGCCGGAAGTTGTTGAGAGCAGAAGCCCATAAAAAGAGACGGGTATCCGGGCCACGCAGCAACATCAAGCCCTTGTTCTGCACCAGAAAGCGGGCGATGTCTGACGTAGCCGCAGCCTAGAACAACACAGCAGCACGACATCCCACCGCCCCTCACAGAATGTGGTCACGCAACAAATGTGTTAGAAACAACGCTTGAGGCTGGACCTGTGCACTTGGCCGGTGGGCCCCTGACACGGTAAAGCTGCAGCAGGTCACAAAAAGAGGGCAGAGCGTGGTTCAGATCAGGTACCCTGTGCCGCAGCTGTGCCTGGACGCCAGCGAAGTTGAGCACTTCCCGAACACGTGCCCTGTCCTCGCAAGAACGAGGCAATTTCGGACGATGATGTGTCACTATTTCTAAAATTGCAGTGCTCCGCGCCGAAGGAATGGAGCGAAGCTAATTCATAACTGATGCTTCGCAGACGGACAAAAAAATCCCGGATGGGGTATTTCACTGACTGTGGCAAGATCGGTGACGTGCACATGCGCATTGTTCAACCCATCCTGCCAGAGGGAGTGCTCAGGTACCAGTGCTGCAGTGGATTTCTGAAGCCGCTCGATGGGACTCCGGTTCACGAGATCCTCCACAGGCACCGAGAGTCAATGTCCCCACCTCCCTCAAAAGCAGCAACAAAGCGAGAAACGTGGAAGGAGAGTCCTTCACCGCAGACAAGACCATGCTGGGCACGATAGCGTCTTCTCGGTCAGCAACGGTTTGCAAGATGCGGGACACCATGACATCTTTGGCTGGACAGGATGTGATTTCGAAGGTGCTGAAGTCCACTTCTATATCCATCTGACTGCCGGTGTATGGAGTCAGCATTTGACTGAGCTCGGACTGAATGCTCTGCACTTGAGCCTTGATCGTTTGCAGAGCGCTGTCCGCAGTCTTCTTTCGGCTCTCTGCCTGACGCCTGGCAGATTTCAACTCAAGGATGCCCTCCTGGAATTTCTTGCTTGATCTCACATGCCAGGCTTTGAGTTTGTCGCTGAACTCCCCGAGGTGCATCAGGAGCTCGGAGCGCAGCACTCCGCGGTGTCTCACCACGTTCTCGACCTGGCCCACCAAGTCTGCACGAGCCTTTGCGGCCTGTAGGAGCAACTGCTTTGTTTCCTTCTGGAAAGTCTTGTGGAAGTCTGCCTCGACCTGCTGATTCAGCAAACTCTCGGCGTGCTCCACAGCCTGGCTCAGGATCGCCTTGTTGTTGACGGCCTCTTCGAGGCCCACATTCAAGCTGTCCATCCGGTCCCAGCGGTCGGTCAGGTCCTCATAGGCGTGATGCAGCCGAAGACGAGACCTGAGAGCGTGTACTCAAAAAACAGATCCCCAGCTCCTCCCAGCTACTCCCATCTCTACCCTTTGCCGCCGTAAGACTTCAGCTGCTCTAAGCTCTGGATCCGCTGGTGCTCCCCAAACTGCTCCACCTTGAACACCTCTCAGAGACAAACATCGCAGCTAAAAAGACCGCTCTGAATCATCGGACGAACCGAGCCATGGCCTCCTTCGTCAAGTAGGCAAACCACTGGTGGGACATCTTGTCGGCACGAGAGCTCCCAATGTCTCGCGCTTCCTGGGATTCTGGGATAACCCCCATGAGTCTTACATCCTTCAATAAGATAAGACGTGAGTTTCAGACATCGACTTGGCTACGCTGCTCAACATCGAAATTTTCCATTGTAGCTGATAGCTCGTCGGACTAGCGGAGTATAGCGGAGTGTAAGTTTCCCCACACTTTCTGCCACAAAAGCTTCCTTTAGCGATTGCAACACCTCGCGCATCGCGCCGTCCATGTCTGGTGCCGCATCTCGCGGTTCCTCGGGGGGTTGAAAGTCTTTTGGAGGCGCAGGCCTCTTCGGAAGCAAAAAACCAACAAGCCGTGTTCACAATTGGCGGCCCAGTGACAAGAGCCCCAGATGCTTCCATTGGAGTGTTCAAAGAGCGCCAGACTTGCACCAAATGCCCAGTCACGGCGTCTATGCTATCGCTACCTACCTGCCAGGCCGAGCCCATCTGCTCTCCCCGTCACCCAGCCCCTCAAAGCTGCTCAACTCGACGAGGCCCTCCGCGCCTGGAAGAAGTTGCCCAAGTAGCCTCCTATCTGATCTCTCAGCTCCTTCTGCTCCTGGTGCGGTTTCGGAGCTTGCTTGCTTTGGCGCATTGCACCACTGTAACTGCGCGAGCACCGCCCGCTTGTTTAGAATACAATTATGCATGTAACTGCATAACAAAACTGTTTCTGCTACAGCTCTTGAAGCCATGCCACCCCTGCTTGCTACTGCAATGACAATGGCGCTACGGAGTTAACCTCTATTGAGGATTCGTGATAGCACTGACTATGACATTGCCGAAAACTGGCTGCCGAGGAAGGCACTGCCGCATGCACTTCAGCTTGCCACTCGGTTCGGGCCCCGTAGGCATCCTCAGAGCAAGGAAAAGAACGATCGAGAAACGATCCAGCTTCATTGCAAGATATCACAAGCAGCTTGTAACCGCTCCCATCCCCATGGAGCAGCCATATGGCAAGCATGGCATTGCATCATTTGGAGATTAAGCTGAAGTTTTGAAGAGCATCAGCCGTGTCATCCAACAGCTCCTGCAGCTTGTCGATCCAGGAGCCATCCAAGGCCTCGGGTTGGCTTGGCGCCCTAATGCAAGCAAGATTTTCGGTCATGTACCGACAACATGGCAATCATGGTCCTAGCGAGCACATCTAGTCGGCCGGAATCAGCTTTCATCAACTCTGCAGACAAGCCTTCTCGTTTCCCAGCTTGTCCGAAGTCATCCTCAGAACAACGGCAAATGATATCCAGCCCCAAAGCCCACACCCAACCTAGGCTGCCGGACCAAGTTCTTCTCTTCCCCAACCCAAGACCAAGGAGATTTAGATCCGGAGGCCTTGCCGCCAAAGCGGAGCCAAGGCTCGCATAGAAGCGGCGCCGACTCGGCCCTGTCTGCTGTGCTCCGGCCTGCGCCTCCTGGCCGACGCAGGCACCGGTCTCTTCGCAACGTCGCAACTCTTCAAGGGACTCCTCGGTTTTCGCCTTTGCTCGGGAGCGACGAGCCTGCAAGTGGCGAAACGTGCTCCAGAATAACAAGTTGCCCTCAGAGCGATGGGCTCGTCTGCATCTCTTGCCTTCTTGAGCATCTTGCGCGTCAAGATGCCGCGATACTCTCGAAGGGCAGCTGCCACTTCCTCGCGCTGGGATGCTGGGGAATGGATTGCGTACTCGGTACGAGTACACGGTGTCTTAGTGCCAAGCTCCATCACGACTGCGCCTAATATGTATAATGGGGGGGGGGGGGCTAAACCAATCACACTGCTGCAGGGCTTCATCTTCCGTCAAGCTGGCCTCAGCAAAGCATCAACGCTCTGGCACTGGCTGGCACTGGCACCAACGGCCGTAGTCAGATCTGGCGTCACATCTGGTGCCGAGGGGCCACAGAAACGGAGTTCGCATCGTCCTCCTCGTCAGGCTCATGGTCTTCTTGATCCATGAGCAACCTGCACAGCGCAACACCGCTCTCGTTCCCCGGTAACCGGTACTACCAAAGCCCAGTTACTGGTTCATGCTGGTTCTTGCATGCTTGCACAGCAGGACCAATCATCCGAACTCTGACAGCTTATGATCGGGTCATGCCCGTCCGATGTACCAAGCACCCCGAATTAATAGGTCCTTCTCTCATGGACTTGCTGAGAAGCAGCGCACCGCAGGGTTTCCTCAAGGTATGTGTAGGTATCTGCCGGCGAAGCCCATGGCTGGTCTTGCGACCGAACTTCCACAGGCGCCAGGCAAGGTCGGTTCTCTGCTCCTTTCCTTGTTTTTTCGGTTCTGCAGGCTTGGGCTGAGGCTTTGTGTGCTCGTGATGTAGAAAGCAAGAAGGTGCCGAAACAGCTGCACACGCGTGTCAGCACATCTGCAGGATCATGCACGTTCGCTGCTACTGTTGACATCTGTGGCAGTGAGTCTGTCAAAATCTGTCCTGACCGAGACGTCTTTTTGCATCTGTCCCTGCCATGAGTCTAAGCCGAGTGCCTCTGCAATGCTACAGTACCTTCCCCGACATGTCCGGCAGAGTTCAAGTGCTGTCTCCGTGCAACACAGCACCTGCCACGCAGCGCCTGGACCGAGTAAATTTGATGAAGCAGCTCATTTCCGCAGCCTGCTTCTCAGCCACGTTGAGAACGCGCCTGGAGGCTCGATCGAGCCTTTCCTGTCCTGTATGACAGCACAGTTCCTCCACACAGGCCAGCTTGTGTCTTGTCCTGGCACAGCATGGACCTCGCCCAACCCACAAACAAGTCTAAGGGATGTCCGGATGCCGCAAGCTCTCAGGGGTCAGTCGCGTGCAAGCATCTTCGCCGCCTTGGAGCTGCCGTCGCGACATCAGGAGATGTGCCACTGCTACTTGTAGGGACGCGTTCTTTCGGGAGGCACTTGTAAGGACGATTGCGGGACGAACGGAGTGTGAGTATAGTGTGAGTCGTCGTTGGGGTTGTTTCTTGGTAGGCTTTGATACAGAGTGCTATCACTATTACTATTACTACACGGTTCTACCAAACAACCAAATACCTCCACGGGAATGTTCCCCTCGTGTCGAGGCATGCCGTTGCTCGACGGAGCTACAGGCGATGTCGACGTCGCTGGGACTCCGACTTGTTGCAGTGTGCGCTTCAGCTTCCGGAGTGCCTGCAAACGGACCGCTGGCAGATCCAATCAGAATGCAACCTAGTTCTGATCGCCTTGCGTTGCAATTCAGATTTGATTCCCATGTTTGCGTAGCCAACAGTTGCACTCTGGGTAAAGCAAGCTGTCATGCGAGTCTCTGGAGGGCACCTGCTCTTTCGAAGGCCCTTCAGCTTGCGCGCTGTCCAAGGCCTGCGAGAGCCGAAAGGACTCAGAAGCTTTTCGGCAAGGATCCTCTAGCGGCGCCCATTGGTGCGACGTGGCCTCGATGAGCTGAGCACAGAGGCCTTTGGCCTGGCGATCCACGGCCTCAAAAGTGGCTCCGGGAGCGCTTAAAGAGAGATCCGGCGGGCGAGTAGTTGCCGAAGCAACTGCAGCCATCGAAAGTCTGCTCAAATTGTTGAATGCCTCGTCCTCGAGGTCCATGGCCAACCACAGCTCTTGTATCCAATCCACCTTCGAAAGACTCCGAGGAAGGCGATGTTTCCATGTCTACGAAGTTACGAAGAGCCTGCGGCAGTCTACGACGACGAAGAGACGAAGAGTCGCACGAGAGGAGGGGAGGGGAGGGGAGGGGAGGGGAGGCCCACCTTCCGTAGGAAGACCGGCTCCTCCAACCTCTCGGACAACTGTAGCGCAAGCGCGTGCATGAGCTTCATCTTGACCTGAAGGCAGTGTGAGGTGTCACAAGACTTGCAGAATGAAGTTTCTTTCGAGGCTGTCGGCAAATCGCCCCTAATTGCTTGAGGATGTTGAGACAAGGAAGGGATCCACAACACTCCAGACTCGGTCAACTGGCAACTGCGGCGGCACCTGAGGAGAAATCGGGCTTCCAGAAGAATCCTGGGCGGAAGAGGCTGTGCTCAACGTGGAGCAGCTGGAGCAGCTTTTGCTTGTCCCGTCCAGCCTCTGTGAGCCAGGCTTCCGGCTCCGGCACAAGAGCACAAAGGCACCTGGCACCGAGGACCCTTTTCGGACAACGCAGCATGGAAGTGTTTCCGTCAATTTCTTCTGCTCGAACTCCAACACCACTCTTGCAAAACACAGGGCAGATGCACTCCAGGAAATCACAGTGTCTTGCTTGGCGCTGCTTTTGGATGGCACGCAGGAAAGCGTCTTCCACCTTTGGAAGGGCTTGAAGGGGTCCAACATCGCTCTGATCTTCTCGTGCAAAACACCCCGAGGGCTCTGCACGACCGTGACGAAACATGCTCTCCAGCTCTTTTGCCTGCAGATCGGCGGGAGATGGGGATATGCATCATGCATTGATACCCAAGAAGCAGTGTGTGCGGGTAACACCAGTATTTATCAACAATCACCAGCAGCCGGAGCCACTCCACAGAGCAGCCAGAAACAACAGCCCTAGCAAAACTCAGGGTAAACATGGTAAACTCTCGCTCAAGTACCAGCAACGAATCAATGGCGACTGTGGGGACTCACGGTTCATCCTATGTTGCAAGGCAGGATCCGCCCTGTTGGAGCCTGCGCAGCCTCGGACGCGGGGGTGATCTCTCGTACACCTGCACAGTAAGGAAGCTGTGATGAGAGAGAGAGAGAGAGAGAGA